AATAAGTTCCAGGGGAACAGCTGTTTCACGTAATTTTGAGAAGGAGAGGTCTTAATGCTCCCGAAGCAGCCAGACAGCTCCCCCCCGCCCCAACCCAGCAAACAGTAATGCAGCCCGCAGGTACAGGGTTTTGTGGTTTTATTTAAATCCGGTTACAGCAAAACACAGGCTGGCAGTACAGACAGCAGCATCCGAGAGAGGTAACGCTCGCTCCGTGCGCCCGACGGTGCTCGTCTCGCGTCCCCGCGCCTCTGCCGACTGCATCCCGCGAGGCCGGCGCGGCACGCAGCGCGGAGGGCTGGAGCTGCTGGCGGCAGAGGGGAGGCCGCGGGGTAAAGAAGCTGCCCCAAACCTGAAAAGTCACCACGCGCTCTACATTTACAAACAGTTACCCAAAATGAAGCTACTCCCCCCGCCCCTTAGGTAGGAATTGGAAAGAGAAGGGAAACATGACATTTGTCTCCCTTTAAAGGGTGACTTCATTATTTTCGATGCTGTGACGATCTCGAGCATCCTCAGCGCTCTCCAACGTTTGATTGCTGTTTTCGTCAGGGATCTCAGCTGAAATGCGGACCTGGCTCTCCCTGCTTTCCACGCTCTGGTGCCTCTCCCTTCTGACGACAGCCTTGCTATCATCTCCTTCGGCCTCATGGCTATCGAACTTCTGCCGGCTGTCGTTTTCCGTGCTCCGGTCACGCTGCTTGCTGTCCAGCTCGCTGCTGTCCTGCCTGTGGCTCTTGTCAGCCCATTCCCCACTGACGGCATGCTTCCTCAGGGAGTGCAGGGCAGCAGGATCCTCCTGGGAGAGCCCTGCTTGCTGGCTGTCTGTATCCAAGGTGCTCTCATCCTCCTCAGTGGCATCATACACAATGAGCTGTGTCAGAGAGCAAAACATGAAAGCGCCACTGTCACTCCTGAGGAACTGATCTGTCAATAGGTGCTGCTGCACCACACCAAAGCAAGCTGTGTTGGCTGTGGAGACGCTCAAAGCCTGCATGGTACCTGTCTGCCTGGAGACACTGGTCTTTTATGGAGTTACACGAACCTTTCACATAACAAGAAACTCAGCTTTGATCACGGCCTCAGATTTCATGTGTGCAAGTGCATTAGGATAGTGCGAATGGCAGTATTGCATAGCCTGCTGCAACAGGCCATGCTCCTGCCTCAGCACATCAACAGCCCTCTGGCCATCCATACCCCCTGATTTGGGGTGCCCAGAGAAAGGAAATACATTCCTTCACTTACGCCTACTTTCCCCCCACCAATCCTTTTCAAAACTGACTCCCATAAAATAACATGTCCATTTTCAAGTTCACTACCCTTTTCCAAAAACCTGGGTATCACTGCTCGTGCTATTTACCTTTTTTGCAGCTTTGCGGAGTTTGCTAGACTTCACCGCTACGGCTTTTGCCCTCGCCCTGTAGGCCACGCTGTCGCCTCTGCCAGCATTGTCTCCCCGGGTGAAAGGGAAAGGAGGGAAGGGTACAGTTACTGGAATGTCTGTGGGAAAACCTGTGACATCCTCATCGGATTCATCCGTGTCATTGGAATCATTATCATCGTCATCATCATCCACATCTTCGTGGCTCTTGCTTGACACATCAGGAAAGTGCTGGAAAACATTTATTATGCATCAGGCAAATGAACATGTATGTGAGATATGCAGACTGGTATCTGTCCTGCTCACCCAGGGCTTATGCACTGATGAGGAGCTATGTGCACGAATTGCTCTGAATTTGCCTCACCAGGCCTGAAGCTTTGTTTTGTTTAGGGAGAGATGTTACCTCAAGAACTGTATTTGATTGAGGGAAATGAGTGCTGCTACACAGTTAACTGCCCTGCAGCACTCAACTGACATTTTGCTGTTCATAACGCTTACCGGTTGTACTGGGACATCCACGCTTTCTTCAGAAGAGTAAAGAGTCTGAAAACAAAATAAAACTCACTATTAGCACACAAAGGTATATACAGTAGAGCTGATCAGCATGCTGACTATTCTTTGAGCACTTAATCCTATTTTTCAAATCTTGGCAGTGAAAGATGTTCTGCTTTCTGTTCCAGTGAGTTGCCCATACCTGCTGAGGTGATGCCAGGTCATTCTGTGGGTGCTGCAGACTCTCCCAAGATTGAGAATTCACATGGTGGTGATATCTGTGTGAGTGATGGCCCCTGGGGTCCTTCAAGAGAAAAAAAAAAAGAGGGTTTCAATCCACAAAAGAGCATACAGGAGCAGGCAAAGCTGCCTGCATCACAAACCCTGTTTTCAGGCAGATGTGGCATCTGCAATATATACTCCTTTTGTACAGGATGAGTCCTCAGCAATTCATTGCAGTAGGAAGAGGACTCAGAACAAGCCGTGACCCCAGATGAACATTGTAACCAAACAATACAATAACAGAAGATGTGCTTCTCCCATCAGCAGAGCCTGAGGAATTTCAGATCAGTCTCTCCAGCTTGTTTTTAGTGAGTGAAATTTGGAGTTATATCTAACGACCATTATTTCTGCTAATTCTCAGGTCCTTTTTCCAACAGTGATTTATCTCCCACATCATGAAGTCTCTAAACTAAACACAAAAGCTGATTCTCAGAGCAAAGAATTGATTTTACATGGGTAATAGCTGCCGATGGAGTGTAAATCAAATAGCTATATACAAGACTACAGTTCACTTGCACCACTCCAAACTCATGGGAAATGGATTAAAGTGCTCTTCCAACATCAAATATTGTCATCTGAGCCACGCTAATGAATGGGGTTTCTGCCATGTTACAGTTCTTTTTTCTTTTTAACTGACAGCTTACATATTTTTCATTAAGAAAAAAGTTTTCCAGTGCTGGTCCAGAGGTACAACTACTGAAAGCCCACAACCAGGATGCCTAACATGGCAAAAGTCTACTGATGTCAGTGACTCTCTGCTTCGGCTCCCTGAGAAACTGGCTCATAACAGCCAGGTGAGGACATGTTCTACAATCATAAAACAAGTATCAGACAATGTTTATTAGAAAAAAATCAAAAAGGATTTATTAAAGAAAATGAACAGAAAGACAAAAGGAGCTTACATATTTTTCTTCGGAGCTGGCAGAAATGGCATGCTGCTTGGATTTACTCACCTTGAAGGGAGAAAAAAGAAAAAGCATTTGTCAGTATTGATTTCTTGCTAATATGCAAAGAAAACATGCAAATGATTGCTGATATGCATTTGTGATTTACTCACTGGCCATGCGACGGTGATGCTGGTAAGGCATAAACACAGAACTACCACCTTCATTGTGATGTTTTACCTAGAAAATAGTTTGGAACAGTGAGTCAACAAAGTACAATACCACAAAAACGCTACAGGCTTTTTCTTTCTCCTGGTGTACTTCACCGTGCCTAGACTAGCTCTCTATTAGGGATTCAACCTGCCCATGCTAATCTTTTTCCTCTGTCCTCCATCACCACCCCACAGCCATCTGGTTTTGTAATGACTTATCAACTCAAAAGCTACAAGAATTCTAAAACCAGGTACTGAGAAGTGCTGAGCAGTGGTGAGAGTATCTGCACTGAGAAGGCAAGCGGACTCCTTCTGTCATCTACTGACTTGCACTGGCAAAGGGAAAGCTTTGTTGAAAACAAAGTTCTATAAAGATCAGCTTTGGTTTATCTTATTAATTTAACATCATTTTGCCAGAAGAGACAGCTTGGATTCTCTTTTCAGTTATTTTAAAATTAATTTTTAGGGTTATGAACTGGAGTTGCTGTGAGTAAACTCAGTTTATATGAATGTAAACTCAGTTTATATGAACATAAACTGCTTTTACTGATAGACCTTTATTTCCCCCTCCAGAAGTTTGAACAGAAAAACCTGTGTTTCCAAGCAAGAAATGAAGTTAAATATCTGCTCATGCTGCAGTTTTAGCAATTTAATAAATGAGTGATTCC